TCCCTCACATGCGAAAGGATGCTACGATTGAGGACTTGACATTATTCAACGTCAAATGCGATGCAACCGTGCACGAGAACGCACTTGCATTCCTCAACGACGCTTGAATTCCCAAGTACAGTAGGAGTACTCATTTGAATGTAATAAAATGTCATTATATTTTTGTGGCGCAATATATAATCTCAAAGGTCAATACAAACTTTAAGATATTTTCTAGCCGTCATCTATGCTTTAATCAAGATAAACAAACCGACCTCTTTTCCTGGAACAGAGTAGTAGAATTTTGTAGAACAGTTCATGTTAGAGTGGTGGCCAGCTTTTTCGGGGTTCCGGCTTTTTCGGGGTTCACCGTATCAGGTTGACACTAGCGCACGAAATCAAAAACGCAAGGATTTACAAAGTGAGGATGATCTCTCTTATATGGTGGGTTGCAAAGAATACAAGGTCATCAATTGCCGCTGAAGTATTTGGTCTCGAATCAAATTCCCTGAATTGATCAGATGGTCCCGAACGAACCAAATAAATAAAGACTCAATTTATACTTGGTATTTGTATGCAAATGGTTTTGTGGGTATACGAATAACAAGTATAATACATAGAATTATACTTATCGGCAGGCGTTCGACGTAGGTGAAGAAAAGGACACCCGAGCGGCAAAACCAGACCGCAAAGACTCACTTGCCAACCTCTCAGCGCGGCGAACTGCGTAACGACGTTGGACAGCAACGCGCTTGGTGTTGTTCTCTTCGACCATGTGACGGTAACGAGCCAACACAGCGCGGTACTGATGCTGATCATCTTGACGTAGTGGCATCAGTGCAAGATGGAAGTTGGTCAAAGAAAAGTTGAGACGCTGGATGGCATCATAACTCTTGGTTCCCCACACGTACGATGCGTTGGATATTTTCCAGAGAAGGCAAACACGTCCAAAAAAGTTCTCCCCGATAACTCGGTCGGAGATGTTGGCGTTGCGGTCGAGGTCAGCTCGGTCGAGGGTGCACAGCCCACGACGAAGGGAAGTACAGTCAGCTACAGATTTTAAGGGACGCCCGAAGTTTCCTAACACATGGGAAATAAAAACCAATCAATTATTTCAAATAAAGTACTAACCTAACATGATTGGCCAAAATTCATTTTGGCGCGAAAACATTTAATATTCGCGGGCACTTCGTAGTCATTGCATCGATCCCAGTCACTTTAAGATATGGCGCGCTGGAGGTGGCGCGCAACGGCACACGACATTGTGTTCGAGTGGTTGCAAAAAGGCATTGATACCGTCACGGTGGTGGTGCAGCGCAGGGGAGCGACCCCGTCCACACACCGTCACACGCTTCACGCACGGCTCACGCGGTTGAATGTTTTGAGAAAGCCCGTGCGCCCGCTGTCGTTGTTGCGCACCGTCGAGGTAAACACGAGGAGCGACTCGTTCCCTTGAAATTTGTCGACCGTCGACAGCCGTACAATCTCCCGGAGCGACTGGACCGCGACATTCGACGCTGGGCCGACCATGCACTCGTAGTCGTCGTCCATGTCGGCGGCACGCATCGCTTCCACGTCCTTGTCCTCGAGCGCCACTCGAAAGTTTTTCCCAGTTAAGTAGCTCCGAATCAAGACGAGCTGGCCGAGATACGGCGTCAAAATCGTCACGTCGTGCAAGAAATGAATTCTTGCACGACAAGTTGTTGGTATTATCGCCATGGTCGTGGTCGATAAACCACAAGTTGTGGGTGAAGCCGCGGGTCGTGGCGGGGTACTCGACAACGTTCGGGCAGTCTCACTGGCCCTGGTACAGCGTCCACCGAATGAGGTCGCATATTTCCGGCCGCATGCGCCGCTGGACGTGCAGCGTCACCAGTGAGCCAGGAACCGTGGCATCGCTCGACGCTCTGTCCTTTCGCTCGTGGACAGCCGCTCAAACAACGACACGTCCAAGTCGTAGCCTCGCTTCGCCACGTGAGTGGGAACGTGCTCGTTCAGGATCGGCCGCAGCTGCTTGTGATCTCCAATCTGGATGACGTGCTGAGTGGCCGACGTCAGGCACAACAGAAGATGGACCTCAAGCACCTCGCCTGCTTCATCGCACACGACGATGGTCGGAGCCAGTGCGCGCAAGAGCGCGTGGTACTTGGCTGCCCCCGTCGTTGTTATGCCCACCACCTTGGCCGTCCCCAACAGGCGCAACGATTGCGCATTGCTCACTTGGTCCGCCTCCGCGACACACCTTTCATACACGTCGAGCGTAGTAGAGATGTTTCGCATATCAAACGCTCCAACGCTGCCCGCCACGTCGCAATCTGGTCGCGGCGCTGCTTGGCGCTCATGGCCCACATTCCACCGGCGTTGGGTTTCGTCTCGCCCTTCTTCCATGCTTACCATCGCGCCTTGTAGTCCTTGTTGCATTGGCCCTGTGCGGCGAATCCGTCGTCGTCGACCGACCCGACGATCGAAGCAAACTCGTCAGGGACATGCGTTTGCACCCACTGCATCAATGGCACAGTCGGTTCACCAGACGTCGTCCCGAGCTGGTCTAAAAACGAGGTCTCGATATCGCGGCATTGCCGATGTAGCTGGACATAGCGAAAGTTTTCTTGCTGGGACGAGAGGTTGGCTTGCTCCAACAGATTCAACGATCGAGTTTGGAGCACCTCCGACTTGGAGCGGGCGCCCATTCGCACAATCGACATGACGGGCAGGCCGTCCTTGACCAAGTCTTCAAGAAACTGATCGAGCGCGTGGTTGGTATACCACACGCACAGCAGTGGCCCGACTTGCAGGCCGCCCTGCTGAACGATAGCGTGCACAATCTTGGTGCCGACGTAGCTCTTGACTTAGAATTGCAAGAATACAAAAAATTCGACGCGCCCGGGACTCCAACCCGGGGCTCGCTGAAGACACACAACTACTGCGCTATTGCGTCAAACGCTTAGCTTGAACTTTGACTTGCACTTGTCTGGTTGGCCACAAACTCCAACAATTTCGAAATACTTCGTCCAATGACTTTCGTCACTGTCAGATATTCGAAGTACTGGGTGTCCCCAAACATGTGTCGTTGACTGTATTGGAACCGTTCCCCGTTGTCATTGAAGAAGACTCATTGCAAGACTTTTGTAGGGCTGCAAAGTGGACATTAAGGCGATCGCGGAACATCGTGATGTCCGATACAGACCCCGGTTCGTGAGAACTCATGTCGACCTAAATGTCTTCAGTTGAGACCGACGCCTCAATCTTAAGGCCGTACAACTTGTGCTTACCGCTAAAGTAGTGCTTTTACTCGCCATATCTTCCTGACGGACGGTTTTATGGCTGGAACTTCAGGTCAGTAGTTGCGTACGGGTACGAACGGAACACACAGCCTCTTTCGCGAAGTTCCGTCATCGTTGGCATGGTGACGAAATGCTCGTACAAGACAGGTTGGACCGTGCGGATGACGCGCATGACCATCTTCTCCATCGTAGGTGCTTTCATGCCAAAGTCGAGTGCGTACTTCTCCCACGACATGAAGTGCTTCAAGGCGACAATAGTGATAAAGAAGGCATCATTTGGCGTTGTCTTGGACTTTCTGTTCCGGCCGTCGTTCCACCGCGATGGCAAAGTTGTTTCGAAACGGACCAAATGGTTACAAATTCATTAGGACTGAAGTTGGTCAAAACGCGAAAGCCTTCGGGACCGTTGTCTTCAATGGCTTTGTCCATTATTGGATGCGGATATTCCTTGCTCGGCTTCATCGATCTCACTACCGAACTCAGTGAGGCTCACTTCAAGGAAGAGACGGTCGGAGGCGTTCTGAGCGTTTAGTCGCTCAAGCAAGGATGTGAAGTTGGTGCGCACCATGAAGCAGCTTGATTTGTGTGTATTCTTAAAGCGATGGAAGTGGACACCTTCTTTTTTTGGTTGGCTGAGACACGTATATCCCTCTATATTTGCGTATTTGCATTTTTACCATGAGTAATGATCATATTGTTGATCACTTTCAATTTATCTCAATATATTCGAGGGGAATCGAACTTTGTAGTTAGCATTTTGTCTTACCCCCATCTCTCTATATTTGATAGATTTATTCGTTTTTTTCCAGTGTATCAATAGGTATTTCCTTTATACTGGTGTTTGTGATCAGCCTTTTTGTTTTTGACTTGAAGGCGTATTGAAGAGCAAGCTTCGTTGCAAGTGGCTTCACGAAAAGCCGATTGTATTTGCAGCCGAAATACGCATAGCTATGGTTAAGCGCACCATTGAAGCCTGGGAGGACATGCCATGTGAAACCATCACTTGCTCTATTGAAAATGGGCTGCCACGGACTCTAGTAGTGTAAGTAGCTTGTCACTTCACTTGAAAATATATTTCATTGTCGAAGTATTTTTGGTTTTCAGAAGTTTGTACTACTCAAAAGAGTAACATTATTTGTCTTGATTAAAGTATGAGGAGGAGGTCAAAAATATCTTGAAGTTTCTATTGAACTCTGACATTGCATGAATCAAAGACAGCAATAAATTGACAATTTTTTTTATTGCAAAACCTACTTAAGTCCGTGATGGTTGCATCATTATGCATATGCGGCATCTTGTAATTGTTCCTGCCCATGTGTTCAAGTGTCTTTTCCATGACCTTTTGCAAGGATATGTCTTTTCCATGACCTTTTGCAAGGGACAAATTGTCACGAGGCAACTAATGAAAGGTGCTCTTCACAGCGTCGATAAGCTCTTCAACTGTTCGAGTACACTTCCGACTTTGCAGGCTTTGAATGGAGTTATAGTACCCTACGTCTAAAACATTGAAGTCTGAACTATTTGGAGGTTGATTAGACACTCCAATTCCAGTAACACCCCGCTCAAGC